GATGCACTTGTGGAGTGTAAGTTGCCATCTCAATGTCAATATTGTCAGCGTGGGGATACAGGTAGGGGCTGCAACTGAGGCAGGAGACGGAACCCCACTGTCCCCCAAGCCCACCTCCCACCTCTGCCCTGTGCCCCAGAAAGTCTTCTCAAAGTCCAGGTGAGAGTGACACCATTCATCAATCTGAGGGTCCCCTTGCCCGCAGGACCGAGTAAGCCAGGTGTGCTGGGTCCTCCCCAGCTGAACGAAAGGAGTGGGCTGTGCTCACCAGCTCCTGCTTGTCACTCTCCAAGGTGGACCTCTGATGCCAGCACCTGGCTGGCACATGATAGGTGCTCATTGGGTGGATGGATGGATGGATGGATGGATATGAATGAATAAATTGATGACCAAATGTGAGTGGGAGAAGAAAGCTCAGTTTTTATTTATAACATGGGGATTATGCTAAGATCTTCTCCAACCTTAAAATTCACTGATGCCAGCAAAACCAAGTTGATCTGCTCTCTGAGAATGGAAGGAAGGTCTACTCCATTGAGGGCAAGTCGCCTGTTTTGTTCATTCTGGTTAACCCAGAGGTCATCAACCAGGGGTAATTTGCCACCCGCCCTCATCCTCTCACCCCTACACCCCCACCCCGCAGCCGCCCCAGCCCACCAGGGGACCTTTGGCACCTTGTGGAATCAATTTGGGTTGTCACAACCAGGAGTACTACCGCCATCTAGTGGATGGAGGCCAGGGATGCTACCCAACATATTCCCCTCCTTCCAGCAGAGTTACCCAGCCCAGATGTAGAAGTCATAGAACTCGGCCAGCATTCTTCAGGGTGGGCCAGGTGTTCCTGCTTTGGGTTTTGGTTTTGTTCAGTGTGCTCTGGAGTGGTTTTTCAAGCCTGAAATAGCCTTGTTTTGCTGCTAAGGTGCTGTGTGACCCTGAGCAGCCCGTTTTCCCTCTCTGGACCGCATGTCCCTCCTCTGCATGGGTTGAAACCATGACCTCTAGGAACCTTTGGAGCTATAAGATGTGATATGTATTTTGGTTTTTGGAGCAGGCTGGGCAAGTCCTTATTGTAGAGAGTGAAGGTACAAGAGACCACCCCTGAATCGGGTGTTAATTATGAGAATGAGAATGTAACCTTTTTGTAGAACCCTTTACCAAAAACACTTCAACTGATGCCCCACCAGTCCTGCCTCCTAAAGGTGCTCACGATGACAGGAACAGTCCAATGAGAGAGGAATGATCATTCTCCCCACCAGGAAATTGAGCTCCAAAGTGGCTCGATGACTCGGAGTGGATGAGCTGCTTCTGTGATTACAGATGTGTCCGTCTGCCTCCCCTCGGCCTCTCCCTCACTAGATGCTAAAGGCAGCCGTGAACCCCTGCTCTTCCCATACATTTGTTTTCACTTAAGAAAGAATTAAATATTTATTATGCAGGTTTTGGAAAAATACCAAAAAGGAGAGGGAAGAAAACACATCCCCAGCCGCCCCACCCCCACAGGCAGCCAGGACCATCCCGCGGGTGCTGTTCCAAGTCAAGGCAGCTCTCCGCCTGGCGATTTGTTTTAGTTGATTGTTTCTGGTCATTTCCCTACACGCCGTAGAATTTTACGTCTTGCTCGTCTCACTGAGCATTATGGCAGAAGCACCCCTCAGCTTCTGTTCTCCCCGCACTGCGTCCCATCACTGTGCGCCTGCTGGGAGATACGGGCTTGGAATCCGCGCCGGTCCTGGCCATTCTGCAGCCGCCCAGGATGTAAGATGCAGACCTTCAGCTTCAGCATTTCAGAACCGGTGCTTTTCTTTGCTTTAATGGGATGCAAATGTCCCATCTCCCCATCCAAGCTAGAAAAGAGAGAGAGGTGCTTCCTCCCCGACTTGGGTGGCAGACCTTATGCTCAGTCACCTTCCGTGCTGCTCCCTTCTGTCTGGAGGGAGGAGAACAGCATCAGCATGGATTTCATTAACGCTCCATCTCCTTGGTTTGATATCCGCACGTGGTTACCATTGGGTGGTGTCTGTCTCCTGGGGTGCAGGGACCCCATCCTAGAGCGTTGATGCTCTCCTGCAGCGTGTCAACCAGCAGAGAGAGTGGGGACCCAAGGCTTTCATGCATTGATTGATTGACAGCCTTTGGGCGGGGCACTAGGCGCACGTGGTGAAGGATCTGCCAGATGCGACTGTGGTGACTGGGAATGTGAAGGGCTCTGAGAAAGAGGAGTTCATTTAACTCCGTGGTCATTGAGGCCCCAGGAAAAGCCAGCCTGTTCAAGCAGGTTATTAACTTGCTGGGTCTCTGAGGCCCTAGAATCCAATTTTGACTTGGTTTTGCCCAGCCCTCCTCTGGCTGAGAACAAGGCCTTCGGGCCTGGCAGGCTGCAGGCACTGTGGACCACAGATACACACCCATCTGTCCTGAACGTGGCCCTCAGGTTGGAGCTGGCCAGAGAGATTCCAGCATGTGTGAGCTCTGAGCTGGGAACACTGGGGACAGGGTGGGGGTGGGGAATATCATCTGGGAGGTTTCAAACACAACCTAGATAGATCACCCAGCAGAGATGCAAACAGAAGGAGGGTTAGAGAGAGAGGAGTTGGGGGTAGGGGGAAAAGGCTGCTTCAAGCTGAGTGGGAGGAGGATGTCAGTGACCGCAATACCCCATCATTCTTAAGAGCGTTGGTAGCATGGTCTTTGGCATCAGGAAAACCGAGGTTGAAAACCCAGCTTTGCTCTGTGCCCTGGGGACATTAACATCCGGGAGCCTCCATTTGCCCATCCGTAAAAGAGGAATAATAATGTCTACCTAATAAGGCTGAGAAAGAACTAAATGAAGTTTAAAATGAGGAATGAAGGATTCAATGAGGGAACAAGGCATTTAGCATGTGCCTGGCACACAGTCAGCGTTCGATAAAGTCATCAAACATCAGATGCTATAAATAGTACGATTGTGGCCAAGGCGCACTGCCATGCTTTATGTCACTATCATCCTTTTATCACCTTCTCTGACGAAACCTGTTTTCCTAATCTCTTTCTCCCTCCCTCTTCCTCTTCCTCTTCCTTTTCCTCTTCCTCTCCCACCTGCCCCTCTGTGATCAGGGGACATGTTGTGAAGGGACTAGCTGAAACTCATGTAGCCATAGGACCCAGCCAAAACGCAACGAGTCAATGTCAGGATCCAGGCTGTCACTTGGCCCTTTTTAAAACAAGATGAACAAAAGACCCTAAAAATAATTGTCAATTCCCAGATCCATCTATAGAAATTGACAGTGTCAGAGCTGGAAGGGCCCTCAGCCTTTATCTAGCCCAGGCAGCCCATTTGACACAGGGAGAGAAGATGGAGAGAAGAGACCTACACAAAGTTATGCTAGGGAGTAGAGGCCAGAATAGGACCACTGTCCGGATCCCTCAGACCCTGGTTGCACCCAGGCTCTCTGCATCGGGTCTCAGGAGCTAGTTTCCTGACCACTATCTGCCACTCTTTCTGTCCCATCACCCTATTGTCACTCCACAGTTGGCATCAATCATTTGATTAAAGTGACGGGGAGCATAAAAGCCACAGCTTTGGAGCAGACCCACATCTACCCTCATCCTATGAGGCCGATGAAATATCTCTGTTACATACAAGAGGCTTAATGGACTTGCCCGGGCCCTTGTGGCTTGTAACCATCAGAGGCAGGATTTGAACCCACGTTCAACTCTGAAACCTCAACGCTTCCCACCTTGGACCAGGAAACCTGCTTGGCCCCTGAATGCCCTTGCTCCGCCCTCCGGTCATTCACACATCCTCTCCTCCCCGTGCGCGCTCCTGCCCTGGCACCGCCGTCAGCCTGCAGTGCACACTGGCTGATAATCGATGTTACACAACAGGAACATTTGTTGGTGCAGTTGCAAACTGTTGCAGTCTATATAGATTAAGCCACTGCCGCTGACTCCGTGAAAGTAAACGAGTCTTCCCAACGGCTGAGGAAATAAATTTAAATGACAGTGCCGAAGGGCCGGAGACTGTGGCTGAGTGAGTGTCTCTCTACAGCAAATCGACAAGGACAGCTATCTGTCAGAGCACCCTTGTCCCCAGAATATAATTCCTCGCGATCTCGAGGCAGTCATCGGGCCCGTTCTGACCGCTCCAGCTTCCTACTCCGGGCCGTGTTCCAATGATGAGAGTAAAAACAGTGGCAGCAGCTGGCATGTACTGGGCACTCCCTGTGGGTGAGGCACCCATATGTACTATGTACGTATGTATGTTTTACATGCATTGACGTATTGAACGAGGCCAACCCTGGGAAATAGGGAAGAAAAGCCCTATTTTACAGATGGAGACACTGAGGCTTAGAGCGGTAAAGCCATTTGTCAGCATGCAGTTGGCAGCGTGGGTCTCAAGTCCACGAAGCCGATTTCAGGCAGGAGTCTGCCAGCCAGCTGCCGGGGCCAGCCCGTATTTAAGGTGACTAGGTGGTTTTACTTTCCAGACAAAAACAAATCAGAAGGAATCGGCAGCGGACACAAGGCCACCAGGGCCTGGCCCCAACCTCCCGACCTCACGGCGTTCTTTGGAATTAGCTTCCGCCTCTGCCCCTGTTCCCTTCGTTCCTGCTGGCCTCAGCCAGGCCTCCAGGCTCCTCGCATCCCTCTCTTCTGAACCTGCCCCACGATTCTGAATCCTCAAATATTTCTGTGTCTCCCACAAGGTCACTGTATATTATTTAATAAAAAAGAAAAGAAAAGAAAAAGGAAGAAGCTTGCTCCCTCAGTCCCAGGGCAATAGAGCCCTGAGCCAGGCATCCAGGCTCCTCGCATCCCTCTCTTCTGAACCTGCCCCACGATTCTGAATCCTCAAATATTTCTGTGTCTCCCACAAGGTCACTGTATATTATTTTAAAAAAAAAAAGAAAAGAAAAAGGAAGAAGCTTGCTCCCTCAGTCCCAGGGCAATAGAGCCCTGAGCCAGGCACGGAGCTTGAAAAAGAGGGTGTGACCGGTTACGGCCCCTCTCGTCCTCTGAGTGGGATGTCCCTGTGCAGCGAGCAGCCTGCCCGGCTGTGCATGGAGGCCCTGCTCTGCACACTGGGTTAGGGGCCTGTCCTCTCTGTCCTGGTAACAGGCCAAGCTTCTCTCTTTCTAAGCATGTATCGCATTGAATGTGATTATCTCTACTTTCCTATTGCCTCTCTCAGGACATATGCAGCTGGACTGTGAAACGGTCGTGCCCTGGGCTTCCATGGCCCTAATGCTTAGCTCGGGCCTGGCACGGTCCACCCTAATCTCCATGGTCAGCAAAAGGAGGAAGGGAGAGAGGGAGGGACAGGCAGCCACTATATCTGTGGATCGGCCGTGCCTTGTCCTGACCAGCTTTGGGAGGCCCCGTAGCAGGGCCACCTGAGCCTGAGAGAAGGCAGAGGAGCTAAACCCCCAGCCCCAAGCTAACTGGTGTCTTTTCTCCTCTTCCCAAGATGCGCCCCTGGAGGGAGACGCAGGCCCTTCGAGTACGTACCTCCTACCCTCGGGAGCACTGGGGGGTGGCAGTCTGAGCAAAGACAGCCTGGAAGAGAAGGTGACACCTGCCCCTCCCAGCCCAGCGCAGTCCGGGGAAGAGCGTCGGGACCCGGAGCTGGACGGGACCACCGCCTCCCTTCGTCCAGACCCCGTGGCCCTGTCCACGCTGCTTCCGGAGGAGCCCGGCACCAAGCTCGCCTCCCTCCCCAGGAAGAAGCTGTCTTCGCTCAAGCAGGCCAACTCGTCCAGGAAGCAGCTGCGACCCAAGGCCACCTCCGCCGCAGGCCTCCTGAGGGTGGGGTCCCAGCCTGCATCCCCGGGCCTGGGTCTCCCCTCCTCCGCCACGGAGAAGCCTGGCCCACCCGGGGACCCCTACCCTGTGGCCTCTGAGGGTGAGGAGACATTTCGGCTGCCGTCGTCAGAGGAGCCCCTCTGGCTGGACCGGAGGCGAAGTGCGGTGCCCACGACACCTGCGCCCCTGCAGATCTCTCCCTTCACCTCGCAGCCCTACATGGCCCACACGCTCCCCCAGAGGCCGGACCCCGGGGAGCCCATGGTGCCCGACGAGGCCCAGGAGGCTCCTCTTGAGGACGCCAGTCCCATGACCTTGATGGACAAAGGTGAGAATGAGCTGACCGGGTCGGCCTCAGAGGAGAGCCAGGAGACCACGACGTCCACCATTATCACCACCACGGTCATCACCACGGAGCAGGCCCCAGGTATGCGGCCCCCAGCTCCAGGCTCCTGCAGCATGGCGGAGGCACCCACAGCGGGCAGGGCATGGGTGGGCAGGGAGGTCCAGGCCCCACCACCCATTACCATCTATCCAACACTAGCTATGAGCTTGATCCTGTGGCTCAGACTCAGTATCCCCATTTTAAAGATGGGACAACTGAGACCCTGAGACATCAAGCAACCTGCCCAAGGCCACACAGCTGAAGAGCGGGATTCAAAGCCTTTCCATCTTGGGAACAGCCTGCCCGGAAGGCTATAGCCTTTCCAACGTGCCTTTGCTTTTACCGTTACATGCACTTCTCTAGACTTGATAAAATGCACTCCCATGTTCCAGCTTTTCTTTTTCTGTCTTCTTTTCCATCTTCAAACAGAGACACCAACTGTCCATCCTACGTGGATCTGGACAGATGCAATGTGGTCACTCGTTCAATAGTATGATCTCTGGGTTTGAACCCTGATTGCTGTGTGAGCTTGACCCAGACGCTGTCCCTCTCTGGTCTTTGGTTTACTTGCCTTTAAAATGGGGACAAAATATTAGTCCCTACACAGGTGAATGGGGTCAGAATGGTGCCTGGTCCCATGTAGTACGTGTCAACTAGTGCTCTTTTGATTATCATGTTGATTCTGGAGCTGAAGGAGAATTGACAGCAGTGGGAGGGGTGGGGACAGGGGAACCCAGGTTTCCCCTGAGGCCCTATTCCACCCGAATGCCCTCTGAGACGTCCCATCTGAGCTCTTGTCCGCGTCCTGATTCCAGTGCTTTTCTCCAGCTCTCTGCAGTGTGAGCCTCTCAGATCCCGAAGGCTACATCGACTCCAGTGACTACCCGCCGCTGCCCCTCAGCAGCTTCCTTGAGTGCACGTACAACGTGACGGTCTACACCGGCTACGGGGTGGAGCTCCAGGTAACCCAGAGAGGCCCCCTGAGTGTCTGCCTCTTCCCGCAGGAAGTCTCAGAGGGATCGTCTGAGTCAGGCTTACTGTTATCATCCTGGCTAGTTTGGTTCTCTTGTTGCCCTAACCAGGGCAATTTGAGCCAGGCTTTGACGAGTGAATAGGAGTTCCTAACTCGGTGCACAGCTGAGATAGCTTAGCAAACATGAAGGGAAGGGGACCTGTTGACAAATTGGAGGCATTGTACCCAGAAGGAGTCTTCTGATATCCTGCTTCTCTCCTCTCTCTCTCTCTCTCTCTCTCTCAAGCCCCACCTAGTGCATTTGATTCGTAAACCTTTGCCGCAAACTCAGATGGAAAATCAGGGTGACATAGTGCTCCAACATCTGGGTTTGGGGGTCTCAGCTCTACTAGTTAAAGCTGAATGACTTTGGGCAAGGGGCTGCCCTTCAGCTTGGCTTCCCTCTGTCCCATTGACTAGGCGCTGGTTGCAGGTGCTGCGTTGGCAGCCTGGCAGCCTGGCAGCCTCCGAGGGCCACGGCTCAAACCTGACTCGGTTTCTCTGTGTCTACCCCTGACTGTCCCAGGTGAAGAGTGTCAACCTGTCTGAGGGGGAGCTGCTCTCCATCCGCGGGGTGGACGGCCCCACCCTGACCGTCCTGGCCAACCAGACACTCCTCGTGGAGGGACAGGTGATCCGAAGCCCCACCAACACCATCTCCGTCTACTTCCGCACCTTCCAGGACGATGGCCTGGGCACCTTCCAGCTGCACTACCAGGGTAGGGTGTCGCCGTCTGCCTCAGTTTCCCCCTGGAGCCAAAGATTCTCAAACTTTTTCTCCTGGGGGGGGGAACCACCCACCTTTGCAGTTTGGTAAAAACTTATGGACCCCTTTTCAAAATAATATTTTTAAGAGCATTAAAAGACAATCTCAATGAAAAAGGAAGCCAGTCATATTGAATTACAGCTGTCAAAACATTATTTTAATCTCTGGTGTCATAATCTATGTACTTCTTTAACACAGTAAATAATAAAATCTCCTGGCAGTTCGGGTAAATGCTGGGATTTCAAGGTACTGAGATGTTCGTGCAGGAGGGACTACCCCTGTGTGGGCAGTACTGCCCCTTCTATGCGCAAGGAGAAGCCATTCTAGGTCCATGTGGAGAGGGGCTCAAACGAGGTTTGGGAACTCATTGTTCACCCCAAACTTGTTGCCTCTGGTTAGGCAGGGTTAGGGGATCTTTGAACCTAGAGAGGGTGCTCACCTGGCTTGTCTTGGCGCCCTATGGCCAACAAGAGACACAAAAATGCCCCCTGCAGCTCTCCAGAGCCACCAGGGACCCCATCTTTCCTCCCCAGCACACACTGGCTCCCAGGGTGTGGGTCCCGTTCTTTACCTCTGCCCCCCGGTGGGTGACTATCTGCCTCTGCATTTCTCCCCAGCCTTCATGCTGAGCTGCAGCTTCCCCCGCCGGCCAGACTACGGGGACGTCACCGTGATGGACCTGCACTCGGGCGGGGTGGCCCACTTCCACTGCCACCTGGGCTACGAGCTCCAGGGCGCCAAGACGCTGACGTGCATCAACGCCTCCAAGCCCCACTGGAGCAGCCACGAGCCCATCTGCTCAGGTACCCGCCAGCCTCGGCTGGACCAACAGGGATGGCTCAGGAGGAGGGGCGAGACCAACGCCCAGGGCATTAAGACTGACCTCAGGAAAAGGCTCTCACCCAGGGGGAGAGACCGCGCCAAATGCAGATGACCGCTGCCACTTACAGTTTCATTATGTGATAAATGACACATCACATGTAAACTTTACCATTAGTGACATTTAGTGCATTCACAGTATTGTGCCACCATCACCGCTCTGTAGCTCCAGAACACCTATATCGCCCCCAAAAAGAAACTCTGTCCCCATTAGCAGTCACCCCCTTTCTTTTCTCCCCCTCCATCCTGGCCACCACCAATATTCTTTGTGTCTCCACGAATTTGCCTATTCCGGACATTTCATATCAATGGAATCATATCATATGTGATCTTTTGTGACTTGCTTCGTTCACTTAGCATATTGTTTCCAAGGTTCATCCATGTTGTAGCGTATGTCAGAACTTTATGCCTTTTTACGGCTGGATTATAGTCCATTGTATAGATAGACCACCTTATATCATGTTCATTCATTGGTAGACAGTTGTTCCCACTTTGGGCTATTATGAATCGTGCTGCTATGAACATTTGTGCACGAGTTTTTGGGTGTACATATGTTTCCATTTCTCTTGGATATGTACCCAGTAGTGGAATTGCTGGGTCCTATGATAATCCTATGTATAACTTTTTCAGGAACCATCCAACTATTTTCCACAGTGGCTGCACCATTTTACATTCCCACCAGCCAGCCACGTTCAAGAGTACCAATTTCTCCACATTCCCGCTAACACTCGCTATTGTCTGTGTTTTCTTTTTACTGTCATAGCCATCCTAGTGGGTGTGAAGGGGTATCTCGTGTGGTTTTGATTTGCATTTCCCTCATGGCTAATAATATTATTGAGCATCTTTACATGCTCATCTTTACTGGCCATTTGTACATCTTCTAGGAGAAATGTCTGTTCAAGTCCTTTGCCCATTTTTTTATTTGGTTGTTTGTCTTGTTGGGTTGAAAGAGCTCTTTATATATTCTGGCTACGAGACCTTTATTAGATATATGATTTGCAAATATCTTCTCCCACTCTGTAGGTTGTCCTTTTATGTCTTGCTAGTGTCCTTTGATGCAAAAAAAAACCCAAACAACCATTTTTAATTTGATGAAGCCTAATGTATCTATTTATTCTTTTGTTCTTGTGCTTGTGGTGTTCATGCTGCCATATTTTGAGCCCAGTCAGTATGTACTGAGCACCATGCCAGGGCTGCAATAAATCCTCACAGCAATCCTATGTGATGGAACCATTATCCCCATTATACAGATAAGGAAACTGAGGCTCATGGAGGTGAAGGCACGTGGCCAAAGCCACCAGACACCAATTGAACTGAATCCAGAACCCTTCTCTGCTGAGCTCTTTCCCTTTCTATACCTTCACCACACAAGATGCGGTCTGCAGACCAGCGAGATGACTCGAAATGCACAATCCTGGGCTTCATGTAGGACCAACTGCATCAACATCTATACCTTAATATGCCCCTATGTCATTCATGTGCACATTATAGACTGCGAGGCACTGGGCTATATCACACTGTTCCTGCACCAGTGGACAAAACCTCAGCTATCAACACAGCAAAACCCTGTTAGGTTCAAAAGTCCTGAAGGTGACCAGGTGAGTATAGGCTGCCATATTAACTGAGTGCCTACTATGTGCCAGGCCCTGAGCCATGTACAAGGAGAATACTTGGAGCAATAAACATAACTCCTGCCCTCCAGGCATTCATGATCAGCAGAATTCAAAAAGCAAATGAGTGCTGATAATAAATCCTGAGATTTCATTGTTGCAGTATTGTTCCCCCAAGGCCCTTCAGAATTTTTCTTCTTTTTAACAAAGAAAAAAAAAACCCCAAACCATAGGGCAGTTGGTCTCTGCGCCTCCCTCACGCTAATTTTTATCTATGTGTGAAATCAAGGAGGAATTAAGCCTCAATTTGTGCTAAGAAAGATGGATGGAGAGCCAGGGCTGGCAAAATGAAACCAAACAGAGCTATCAGTCGGCTTAATAAGGCAAGAAAGGGGAACAGAGAGGCAGCAAATGAGGGGCACCCTGGAGAGGACAGATGGCCTGCGCCCCCAGCATGGACAGTGTCCTCCACCTCCTTAGCTCCTGAGCCATGGGACGATGATGCTGGCTGTGTTTTGAGCTCCTCTGTGCCAAGGACTACACCAATCATTTCATTTGTTTCTCACCATGGCTACTTATTAAGGAGGGTGAAATTATTATCCCCATTTTACAGTGAATTCAAGGTTCAGAGAGCTTCCATAACTTGTCCCAGATCCACAGCAGGTCCCTGACATAGGCCAGGCTTGAACCTCCAATTTAGGACAGGAAGGCAGCCGGGAGAGAGACAGGGACACGGTGCTCTGTCCGTGGTGCTAAAAGGAGACCTGGGCTTCTGGGCAATGTCATTGCTTGAAGTCACCGCCGAGTCTCCTATTGCAAGTTCTCATTAGTCACCTGAAAACCATTTAATGAGAACCAAGTATCTCTTCAGACTAAGAATAGGCCTACCTCTTTTTTAAAATCTATTTTATTGATTTTTTTACAGAGAGGAAGGGAAAGGGAGAGAGAGTTAGAAACATCGATGAGAGAGAAACATCGATCAGCTGCCTCCTGCACACTCCCCACCGGGAATGTGCCCGCAACCAAGGTACATGCCCTTGACCGGAATCGAACCTGGGACCCTTCAGTCCGCAGGCCGACACTCCATCCACTGAGACAAACCAGTTAGGGCAGGCCTACCTCTTTACACTTGTACAACTCTTCCCAGTTCATAAATCATTTTTTAATATTTATTAGATTTTTATGATAAAAGTATTATATGGTTCTGCTAAAAAAAAATGTGTATATGTATATATTTTAATCCTCACCCAAGGACATGCTTTTTTATTTATTTTAGAGAGAGAGAGGAAGGAAGAGGGAGAGAGAGAGAGACATTGATGTGAAAGAGAAACATCGATCGGTCAACTCCCACATGCACCCCAACCAGCGATTGAACCCCACAACCTGGGCATGTGTGCTGACTGGGAATCGAACGTGTGATCTTTCGGTGCATGGGACAATGCCCAACCAAACTGAGTTACACCGGCCAAGGCTAAAAAAGCTTTTTTTTCTTTTTTTAAATATATTTTATTGATTTTTTACAGAGATGAGGGGAGAAGGATAGAGAGTTAGAAACACCAATGAGAGAGAAACATCGATCAGCTGCCTCCTGCACACCCCCTACTGGGGATGTGCCCGCAACCAAGGTACATGCCCTTGACCGGAATTGAACCTGGGACCCTTGAGTCCGCAGGCCGACGCTTTATCCACTGAGCCAAACCGGTTAGGGCTAAAAAAGCTTTTTTTCAAGAAATACAAAAGTATAGAATATAGGAGCAAGTCACTTTTATATTTATGGTCTCGATTGACCCTTGCATATAGCTCATTGAAATAGTTATGGCAGACCTTTTTCTAGATTTTTTTTTTACTTAAAGCATAGTAGCATTTTCCTATATTCTCAACTATTTTTTGAGGTTACAGTTTCTAAAACTGTACGAATGGAATGTATTTATTTACCAAGCACCTGTGAGTAGACATTCATGTTGGTTATCCTATTTTGGCTCTTAGGAAAAAAATCTACGCCCTAACCGGTTTGGTTCAGTGGATAGAGCATCGGCCTGCAGACTGAAGGGTCCCAGGTTCGATTCTAGTCAAGGGCATGTACCTTGGTTGTGGGCACATCCCCAGTGAGGGGTATACAGGAGGCAGCTGACCGATGTTACTATCTCATCGATGTTTCTAACTTTCTATCCCTCTTCCTTCCTCTCTGTAAAAAAAATCAATAAAATATATATGTATATATATATATTTTAAAAGAAATCTAGCCGTGGACATCCTCATCCATACACTTCTGTGAAAACCGCTAAGTCTCTTCTTAGCATAAATTCCCAGAACCTCAATTACTAGGTCAAAGCATTTGGAAATACTTTCTAGATTTTTCACCAAATTGCTCTCCTGAAAGGTCATGCAATTTGCCTCCTGACCAGCCCTGAATGAGGGTAACCATTTTCCCTCACCTTCCCTCATCTCTGGTTTATTGCTACTTTTTACCTTGACCAATTTGGTGGATGAAAATAGAATATAGTTTAGAATGACGTTTCTTTTGTTATTTGTGGGGGCTGAATGTTTTAGGGCTTACTGAGTACTCAAAGCATCTCTTATCTGTTGTAAACTGCCTATTTATGTCTTTCTGCTGACCCTTTTGTAAGGAAGAACCAGGGCACAGCCAGCACCATAGAAGCATCCTTAAATCACAGTCTTTCCCTACCATGAGACACACATGGTGATGGTTCAAATCATGGAATGACATCTCCTATCAAACAGGATGAACCCCACCCAGCAGGCCAGGGCTTCTCCATGGTCTCTCTCTTCCCACCCTATTTCTGTTTCTCCCAAGAAAGGGTAGGGCTGGAGGTCAGGGGAGGATGGAACACTGACTCTCTCTCCCTCTCCCTTCTCCCTCTTCTCTCTCTCTCGCCTTCTGCCCCCAGCCCCATGTGGAGGGACTGTGCACAACGCCACCATCGGCCATGTCCTCTCTCCAAGTTACCCTGGCAACGCCAACGGGAGTCAGTTCTGTGTGTGGACGATCGAAGCTCCTGAGGGCCAGAAGCTACACCTTCACTTTGAGAGGCTGTTGCTGCATGAGAAGGACAGGTAAACCTCCGAGGGTCCCCGCAAATAGCTTACGAGATCGTCAGCTTTGATTTCTTCCTTTCCCAGGTGAGGAAGCTAGGGCCTGACGAGGGAAAGGACTTGCTCTGGGCAGCACAAGGAAAGCACAGCAGGACAAGGAAAGAGGCAAAAGGGAATCTAGACCGCCCCGCCCCCGTCTCCTGTCTCCTTGTTCTTTCTCCTGAAAATCCCTTTTTGCACTTGAACAGGGAAAGAGTGTTCTTTCAGCTCCTGCTCTGTGCCCAGTCACATACTCGACTTCATGGACAACAGGGAAATTACAGGTCATCGGTTCCTGGTAGAGTAAGAAGCTGACATGGAAAAACTCGACTTAGGCACATGAAAGAACTAGGGAGAAGTCACCAGGCAGTATCTAAGGGAGAGCATGTCTGTAGACTCTAAGCCAGTGGTTCTCAACCTTCCTAATGCCGTGACCCTTTAATACAGTTCCTCATGTTGTGGTGACCCCCAACCATAAAATTATTTTTGTTGCTACTTCATAACTGTAATTTTGCTACTGTTATGAATCGTAATGTAAATATCTGATATGCTATATGTGTTTTCCGATGGTCACGACCCACAGGTTGAGAACCGCTGCACAATATACATGGAATCCAGAATCTTAACACTGTAGCATTCTGTGACCTTATGCTAGAATATTCTTGAATGTTCTTGAAATCTAGGGCCTTAGCTGCTTAGGCTTGCTGTCTTGGGTTTGGTTCCCTTGGAAACAGATGCGACAAGGATGTGAGAAGTCGTTGACTTGGGAGCTGATCCTAGAACAGCCATGGGCAAACTAAGGCCCGCGGGCCGGATCCGGCCCGTTTGAAATGAATAAAACTAAAAAAAAAAAAAGACGGTACCCTTTTATGTAATGATGTTTACTTTGAATTTATATTAGTTCACACAAACACTCCATCCATGCTTTTGTTCCGGCCCTCCGGTCCAGTTTAAGAACCCATTGTGGCCCTCGAGTCAAAAAGTTTGCCCACCCCTGATCTAAGCTCTGAAGCTATATCAGTGAAAATGCCCATCCTCATGAAGCTTTCATTCTAGTGGGAGAAGTCAGACAATCAATCAACAAATGAATAAATAAATAACAGATAGTAATAAGTATCTTAGAACAAGGTAAAGTAGGAAAAGGGGTAGGGTGTTTCAAACTGTAGAGTGCAATGTTAGACAGAGTGGCTACAGCAAACCTCACTGATAAGATAAAACTTGAACAAAGACCTGAGGAGGTGAGGGAGCAAGCTGTGTAGATATCTGTGAGAAGAACTGGACAGAGAAAGCGGCAGCTGCGAAGGTCTTGAAGAAAGGCTGTGATTGGCTTGTTTAGGAAATAATGAGGCCAGAGTGATAGGAGCTGAATGAATAGGTGAGAAGAATAATAGATGTCAGAGAGGTAATAGGGGCCCAAATTGTGAAAGGACTTTTTGGCCATTGTGAAGATACTTAATTTGCCTCTGAGTGTGATGGAAAGGCACTGAAGGGTTATATTCAGAAGAGTACTATGATCTGACTCAGGCTTAAAAAAGATCACTCTATCTACTGCATTTAGTATTGTCTGAAGGGCCATGGCCTGAAATGGCCAGGCTCTTACAACAAACCAGATTAGAGTTGATGGTGGCTTGGACCAGGTTTATAGGGGTGAAGATGGCAAGAAGTGGAGAGATTCTGAATATATTACTGAGAGTGGACTGATAGGATTTGCTGATGAATTGCATATAGGTTTGAGAGAAATATGATGACCAAGGATTGGCCTGAGCAAACAGATAGCTGAAGTTACCATTAACAAAGACCTGCCAAGGTCTACAGAGGTGGGAGCTGACAACCACCAGGGAAAACCAGTTCTCAAGTGTGTCCGTAGGGAGGGAAGTTTGTAGTGGTTCAGGGGATTTAAAAGTCAACACACGCACACAGTGCAACACTTGTTGTGCTAAGAAGAAAGGAACAATTAAATGTTATTCATTCCATATATTTGCTCGAGGGGGAAAAAGCTAATATAACACAATATTTAAGTTGCAAGAGCTTAGCGCTAGATAGGAAATGGGACCTGATCTAACCTTGGGAAAAGCAGAGACTATAAATTGGGGTCATATGTTGAAGGGCTTTGAATGCCCGACTGCTTCAAGAGAACCATGGAAGGCTTTTGAGTAGAGGATGTGCATGAAGAAAGGTTTAAAGATAACCCTTCCCCAGCCCCCCAAAAATGAAGTCTTTCTAGGATTCATATTTTTTTAAAATGAAGTCTTTATACACTCCAGTTCCATGATATGCAGCATGAAAGGTGGGTTCTCTGGTCAGACATGTTTGGGAGACACCATATACCCTGTCTTGGAAGGTACTAATGTGCATTAGCCAGCAAAGGCACTGACAAGTCCTGCAGGAAGAAGATGTTTAATTTCTGTTTAACCCAGCATTTTCCAAACCCATTTGACTACAGACTACATATGGTTTTGAGATCAAATGTATGGCTATTTCAGACATTCGAAAGAACGTAACTAGAAAATTGCTATTTGGGGAAGATTATGAGGCTACCAAGATTCTGAGACCTCGAGGTTTTCCTCCAGAGTGACCTCCTTTGTCAAGGGCTTTAGTTCTTTAAAAGAGGATTCAAGACACAACAGAGTCAGCAGGGATCAGAAGACTGTGAAGGGGTCCCTCCTCACTCTTGGGTATAAATTAATCGGTATCAGCTAATTAGCTTGGTTTATTCCATCAGACACATCGCTTTCCCTATAACCTCAGAATCAATCCGTGAGTCTAGGACAAGCTTTCTACCGAACACAAAACAGCTTCCATAACATAAGGCAGCTTGTCTGGGCAAGTAAGGGGCCAAGTTGGGATTTAAATCTGGGAATGAGAGGGGCTCCATGCACACCCCTCCGGCTGCTGTGTCGGTGCCCCGAGAAGACCTCTCAGGGGCCCTCCTCTCCTTTCCCACTGCCAGGATGATGGTCTACAGCGGGCTGACCAACAAGTCCGCTCTTCTCTATGACTCCCTTCACACCGAGAGCGTCCCCTTCGAGGGCCTGCTGAGCGAGGGCAATAGCATCCGAATCGAGTTCACGTCCGACCAGGCGCGGGCAGCCTCATCCTTCAACATCCGGTTCGAGGGTGAGGGACCTCGGGGGCCTCCCCCTCTCCTGGGGTGGTGGTGGGGGACCAGGGGAAGCATGGCGGGGCTGGGGCTGGGTCCTGGGAGGAGGAAACCTGGCTGTCCAAAGACGGGGGAGACCCTGTGACCAGACTGACCCCTGGATTTCTAATAACAACACCTACCACTTACTGAGCACTTACTCTGCACCCAGTGTCTTATGCCCAGGTGCATGTGATGTTTGCCACACTTTAATGTGAGAGGTGTTGTTATCTTTTAGGTGAGCACACTGAGGTTAGGGAACTTGAGTTAGAAGAAAATGGAGGTGAGGCTCTGTCCAGCTTGAGTCTGGATCCCTAGGCTCGCTCCACTCAGTGAGACCTCTCAGGGTCCAGCCACCCCTTCCGCCAAGAATTGTTAGCCAGGGCCTCTCCTGCTCAGCCCTGGCCCTTTAAGAAAGGATGCCCTTGGGGAACTTTCTGTCCCATCTTCCCTAAGAAAAGTTGGTCTTTCTCTTGGACAGACTTACAGTTTCAAGTGGCAGAAATTGGGGCTCTTAGTTATGGGACATGGGAAGAATCCATTTGGGACAGAAAAAGGAATTTAAACACAAAAACGCTGCAGGGTTGGGAGGGCAGAGAGTCTTAGTTCTATTTTAAATGTGAAAAATAGACCCCAAGATGCCAAATGAATGGCCACTGGACCCAGATCACAGGGTCTGGTCCCCGAAAGTCAGGAAGGGACCATCTTCCTGAGAGGCAGCCTGGGAGCCGTCCCAGACTCATCTGAGCTGCTGCCCCCTGTGCACCCCCTCCCCAGCCTTTGAGAAAGGCCACTGCTACGAGCCCTACATTCAGAATGGGAACTTCACCACATCCGACCTGACCTACAACATCGGCACCATAGTGGAGTTCACCTGCGACCCCGGCCACTCCCTGGAGCAGGGCCCGGCCGTCATTGAGTGCGTCAATGTGCGGGACCCGTACTGGAATGACACGGAGCCCCTGTGCAGAGGTGAGTGGCCCACCGCCCGCCTCCTGGGGCTCCCGGGGACCTCCACCCCCCAGATGGAAAAACCAAGGTGAATGGTTACAGGCCTGTCACCACTTACCAATTTTAGGAGCAGAACCCTTTTCTTTGGGTGAGGTTTGCTGCTTGTCTTTGAAAAAATTTCAAAATTGACAATTTTTAAAAAATTTTTATTGATTGATTGCTGTTAGAGTAAGGAAAGGGGAGAGCAAGAGCAAGAGAGAGCGAGCAAGAGAGAGAGAGAGAGAAATGTTGATTTGTTGTTCCACTTATTTATGCATTTATTGGTTGATTCTTGTCTGTGCCCTGACAGGGGATCGAACCTGCAACCTTGGCGTATCAGAACAATGCTCTAACGAACTGAGCTACCTGGCCAAGGCAAAATCGATACATTTTCTTTTTCTTTTTTTAATAAACAAAAAAGAAATATCGAAATTATTGCACAAGCACCATGTCATTAAACCATTTCTCAGTGAATGGCTTTAGATTCCTGTAATCCTTGAAACGTAGACCTAGAAGAGACTTTCAAAGTCGCACAGTGCAATGTAAATGTTTCAAAACCAACTTCATCAACGTAGCTGATGAGCAGTAAAGGTCATTGGGAAAATATGGGAAGAAAAAAGCCACGCCCAGTCCCATTACCCATTACGTAAAATCACCCCCAATGCGTGTCCTTCCTTCCAGCCCACCTGCTATGCAAAGGTGACTTGTTTTACAAAAACACTAGAGGCCCGATGCACAAAATTCGTGCAAGAGTAGGCCTTCCTTCCCCCGGCTGCCAGCACCGGCTTCCCTCTGGCACCCAGGTCCCGGGCTTCCTTCGCAGCCCCAGCTTCGTCTGGAAGGACGTCCGGTCTAATTAGCATATTATGCTTTTATTATTATAGATAACTGTAATGATACTGGATATGCAATATTTATCACGAAAATTGATCAGTTTTAAGAGGTGCCTCTTTGTCCAGGCACAGACCCCACAGTGTGCAGCTTAGTGACAAGATCTCCACATAGATTTCAGCTCCTATGCGCCCCCTCCGTTATGTATTCCTGTGCAGTGCACAACCACCCCCCAACCCAGCAGTCCCGAGCCCAATTATTAGTAATGGTGATAATGACAGTTATTAATAGGAGTGCAAAACCTGTGCTCCAGGCACTCTGCCAAGGGCTGTATGCGACTACCTGATTTAATCCTCACAGCAACCCTTCCTATGGCCCCATTTATAGAGGAGAAAACTGAGGCTGCCCAGTGACATGCCTAAGGACACGAGGAGGGTAACTGGCAGGGGCGGGAATGGCACTCAGGTCTCCCTGTGCTCTCAGCCCCTCTGGACAGTGTTGGCTTGTAGGACCTCCTCTACGCAGGCCCCCAGTGCTCTGCCCTCCCCATTTCTCAGATTCAGGGCGGCTGAGCCACCCGAGCCTGGATCCCTGAGGAGCCTGGGAGTAATGAAGAGAACCCTCGCTCCTGGCAGCCGCCACCTGGATGGTGGTTGGCGTGAAATAACAGCCCCGCGTGGTGAGGGATTGATCTCTGTATTAAATGTGCTGGTTTAACAGAGCGGAATTTATTGGTGCTTTGGCCTCTGCCACATTGAGAACTTTCCAACGCGGTAAACACGGAGTGGAATTTAAAGGGCCAGGCGCCAGGTATGGTCATATCTCTGCCTCCAGTTCAGAGTCGGGGTCTTTCACAGCTGGTTAATGATGAATTACGGAGCACTTACCTCGTGCCAGGCACTGTGCTGTGTTCGACACCCATGAGTTCTGTTATGCTCCAGAATAACCCAGTGACGTCAGCAGTGGTGTTACCCCGGCTTCACAGAGAAAGGAAACTGAGGCTCCAAGAAGTTACCTGCCTTGTCACACAGTGTGTTGATGTCAGAAGCAAGGCTCAAATCCGGGTCCACCTGACCTGAATGCCCCATGTCTTAGCCACTGCTGACCCTGAGACAAGAAAGAACTGGCTGTTGAGGCTTCCTTCAGCCCTGTGAGCTCTGTCCTTGGTCCTGAAAGAACTATAGACTTGTCTTCGCCAACCCCCATTAGAGGAGGCAGGTGGCCAGCCCTAATTTAATCACCCCACAGACATGTGTGGACATCCTCAGGCGAAGGCACCTGTTCACCAAACATGGCAAGCCATGGCTGTATGACTTCACACTC